TTTTTTTTTTTTTTTTTTTGTCCTTGAAGTATCCACCGCCGATAGCAGTGACTAATCTCCTCGTTACGTTGGAGACACCTCAAAGAGTGGGATAGCTGACTCCAAGATTTAACGCGGCTGCATACACAAGACAGGATTCGAACTCCTGACCTTGCTTAAGCGTGGATCAACCCCTAACGCTGAGGTTTGGAGTTCCTATAGTTCTATCTCTAAAGATTATCAGTATTTTTTAAATACCAATAATTTAATTAATTTTAAAATTTTAACTATTCATTAAAAATATAAAATATAATTTATATATTTAAAGATATTTTTTTATAATAAAATAAATTATAGTATAATTTATAAAATAAAAGCTATTTATTTACTCTCTCCAATTCTAGATATAAGCAACAAAAGAATCAATTCACTTTAGTTAAGAAAGATTATTTACATCATTTAATTGTACTAATTGCATCTAAAAATAGCTTATTTCCTAAACTATCTATCCTTAAAACTTGATTTCAAGAATAAAAAAAGACATCAAAAATATAATTTCAATTAAATAAAGACTATTTTGGAGATGACATTGTTAAAAAGTGAGATTTGTTTATATTTAAAACCAACAAATATGATGCTTTTGCTTATATTAAAATCCGGAAAGAGTACTGTATAAAATAAAAAAAATAAAAATAAAGAACTATTTTGCACTAAAAAAATAATATAATGTTTTGCAGTATTTTATCCCATAATTATAATTTCTGAGTAATAGCACACTAGCCCACTTAAAATTTGCATTTGTACTCGTAATAGCAATAAGGCCTTGCTTGGCATATGAAAGAAACAAACCTTGGAGCATCGAAAACCATGACACAAAATTACAATGTCCCTGCTTCCAGATTCATGCAATACGCCAACAAGCTTTTCACCCTGTCTGTTGGGTATCATGACTCTGTGCCGCTGAAGAGCTGAAAAATGCAAATGAAAAATCAATAACCAAAATTTGGGATTGAAAATTCAATTCTGAATGAGCATGAAAAAAAAAATTACTCACGTGGATTTTGTGGAAGCAGAGCCATCTTCAAGGGTTACTCTGTATCTACCCTGCGTTTCTGATTTTGCGAAAGGATTGCAGATACTGTGTGTGCTTGGATCTTGGATTCTCGCTGAGTCCCAAACCACGCTTGCCATTATTTTATTACCACCATCTTTTGTACATGTGAGTGAGTGTGTGTGTGTTTTTTTTTCCTTTGTAATATATTGTTTTTTTAGTTTTTGTCTTTATAAAATTATTATTATTTTAACTAATTAAGATATATTTTGCACTTGTAATTTGTGTGTACCCTCTTATGCACTTAATGGTTATATACTTATCTTTTTGGGTTTAATTATGTCAAAAAGTGGAGAAATATGCCTTTCATCACATGCATGGATTATGGGGAGAAATCAATTAAGGGAGCATTGTTTGTTATCTACTAATTATTATGTGCAAGGGTATGTTTAAGTTAGGGATCCATATGAGTGTATGTTACAATATTATAACAGAAAGAAGTGTTGTTAAGAAATGTTTGGACATAGGTTTGTCATGTTTAAAGTCAACAATGGAGAAATTGTTGTAATTAAAAGAAGAATATGAAGTTGGAAAAGATATTTGGTGTTTTGTGTGTCTATCCCAAAGCATAATAATTAAAGATTTTTATAAAAAGATTAAATTAAAAATGTTATAAAAATATATTTGATGAAGATGAAATGTTTTGTGAGACTCTTCTAACAAATTCTCACATGATCACTCTTAAGTACAAAAGATATAAGGGAAAAATATAAATTGTTGGCTTTAGAAAAAGAAAAATTCAAGAATGATCTGTTAGACACTACTAGGAAGATTCAAAGTCTCAAATGCAAAGCCACAAACAATGAACCACTTGAGGTTACAACATTACAAGTTGATAGCATCCAACTTAGAAAGGATATTGCTAAATTTGTAGATGTATATTATAAATTGAATATGGTTTTAAAGTATAGAAGATTACCATCTGACAACAGTTGTATTGGATTTGAGAAGGAGGAATCAAAAACGTCTTCCTCAAAGCCTAAGACTATTTTATACGATGTTTGTGGTAAAAATAATCATCATACCAGGAGATGTAACCTGAAAAGGAAAAAAGAAGAGAAAATCTACGGTTAAAGTTACTAACAGAAAATGACCCAAGAAAATTTGGATACCAAGATTTCAACTAATTTTGTTGTAGATATACTTATTAGAAAAAAAGGAAAGATTCACATTAGTATCTAAACAGTCACTACTCATGACAAATGATGTGAGAAAGATCTATACTCCTAAACCTCCAACCTCATGAAGGAATAATATTGTTTGGAGGTAGTGATAAAGGAAAAACTAAAAGTGTAGATAAGATTGGTAAGAACTCCATACCTATTGTTGATAATGTGATTTATGTTAAAGGATTAAGGTATAATATGTTTAATTAGCATAACTCAATTTTCTAATAATAGATACATTGCATCCTTTGACAAAGATTTATACATAGTCAGACAAAATGATAAGTATGTATTTTTACTGCCAACAAAAAGAATAAATATCTTTATCAGATTAATCTAAATGATTTGGGCAAATAAAATGTAACATGTTTAATTTTTAGTGAATATGAAAGATGGGTTTGGCACAAAAAGCTTAGGAATATAAATTTGAAACATATTTCAAAACTAAATAAAAAAATGTTTAGTAAGATGATAGTCTAAGATTTCTTGGAAAACTCATATTCTCTGTGAAACTTGTCACAAAGGTAAATAAATTAAAACATTCCTCAAATCTAAAAAGGTTATTTACACTTCTCAAACTTTAGAATTGTCACATATAGATCTTTTTATACCAACCAGAACTTTTAGTCTAGGGTGTAAAAAGTATAGATTTGTCATCATAAATGACTATGTTAGATATACATGGGTATATTTCCTAACTCACAAACATGAGTCTTTTAATGTCTTTAAAATATTTTATAAAAGAGTTCAAAATGAAAAATTTTGTATATCTGCTATCATAAATAGTCATGGAATTAAGTTTGAAAACTTACACTTTAAAATAATTTTTAAAAAGAATGGTATTTTTCATAACTTTTTTTTTTCGCGAAAACACTTCAACAAAACGGAGTAATTGAAAGAAAAAGATCAAACTTTTCAAGAAATAACTAGAACTCTCCTTTGTTAAAACTCTTTGCCAAAACACGTCTAGGCAGAAGTTGTGAACACAACCTCTAGTATTCAAAACATAATATTGATAAGGCCATTGTTAAACAAGACTCCTTATGAATTGTAAAGAGAAAAAAGACTCAATATATCGTACCTTCATCCATTTGGATATGAGTGCTATATTCTCAACACTAAGGATCAACATGGAACATTTGACTCCAAAGTGGATAAGGGTATCTTCCTTGAGTATTCTGATACATCAAAGGCTTCTTATAGAGTCTTTAACTCTAGAATATTTGTTGTTGAAGAATCAATCCTTGTGAAATTTAATGATGTTTTAATGATTGATAGAAAACTATCATATCTATAAGAGGAATTTGTAGATTTGAAGATTTAACCTAAGAATATTCTTAAGACAAATAGAAAGGAATAAATGGTTTATCAGTCTAAAGAACAAAAAAAATAGTTAAAAGATACATACAAACCTCACAAGGATTGGAAGTTTGCTAACTATCATCCACAAGATCAAATCTTCGTAGACAAGACTGAGGAAATCAAAACAAGGTTTACATTTAGAGACAATGTCTCTTATTCTTTGGTTTAAAAAATTGAGCCAAAAATGATTGACAAAGTTCTCAAAGACAATTAGAGCTATGCAAAAAGAACTTTATCAATTTGAGAGAAATTATTTGGATGTTTGTTTCTAAGACTGGACATCAAAGTATCATTGGAGCTAGATGGGTCTTTAGGAACAAGATAAACAAGCAAGGTAAAATGGTAAGAAGCAAAGTTAGATTAGTAGCTTAAGACTATAATCAACAATAAAGTATAGATTTCACTGAAACTTTTGCACCTATTGATAGACTTGAAGCACCATATAAACCTTTGAATTCTAGGCTCATGATCCCAATGAAATGGACAAAATAGAAACACCACCATTGTAAAGATATTGACACCAATATATAGTGTGCTTGTGAGAATCCAACTATGATCATCCCTATTGTTACAATGAAGCACCAGAAAATAGAATGGTATAGTGTAGTAATTAATTTTCAAGCAATAAAATCATGCACAAGGGAGGCAAAAGTGGGACCTCGTTATGAAGCTTCTTTATCTTTAGTATAAAAGGCTTTGGAAAGAGCATCCATGGAACTGCAATTAAAGCCCAAAGCAATAGCACAACCTGCATATCATGAACAGAAAGAAATTTAAAATGATATAAACAAGGAAATGGAACAACAATTATCGAGCAACAAAGCAGCAAAGAAATGAAGCACCAACATTGTCGAAAGGGCTTAAAAACATGTAAATCATTACATGATAAAGGTCTGCCTGAGAGCCAGTACACCACTTGACAATGATGAGAAAGGAAAAGATATCCAAATAGACCACTTGGTTTCTCCACTCCCCCGATAAATGTAATGCTCGAGCAGCTACCCCCTGGAATTGAATATCTATATAATCCACCTCCATTAAAAATTAAAATTAAAATTTTACTATTTTATTTTAAAATTAATTAAAAAGCGCATCATTGAAGAAAAATCAATGATTAAAAGAGAGGGAGGGAATAGTGCGCAACATAAAACACTAACTCCAAAACCCTGAGCACAGGCGGAGTAGGTAGTGTTGGGTTAAAACCATCTTCTTCTTCATACCATAGAAACCAAACAGAAGAATAAGAATTATGGGCATATTTTAACCTTACAGAGCAAGTGGATGCATCACAAGCAGCGTCCTTTTCTCTGTTCAGAGACTCAGCACTGAAACAGAGCATGCAAAGGACCTTTGCTCCTGGAGCAGTGCGTCTCGTCAGAGCAAGCAAATCGCAACCCCGGTATAGCGTCGTCCACTGCAGCGATTGAATGGACCGTCGTTGCTCCTCCAAGGACCGTCGCTCCTGTTGTGCGTTTCGTCAGAGCAGAAAATCGCAACCCTACAATTCCGCAGGCAACCCCTAAGAAAGTTTGGCAAAGCGTTTCGTCTCATGTCTTCAGCAACCCCTAATACAATACAGTTTAAACGCTGCATTTTTGTTGTTTTAGTTACCTACAGAATTTTTTCCGTAGATAACTAACCTTTACCTACGGAAAAAATTCCGTAGGTAACACTCTGTAGATAACTAAAAATTACCTACGGAAAAAATTTCGTAGGTAATATTCCGTAGATAACTAAAAATTACCTATGGAAAAAATTCCGTAGGTAATATTCCGTAGGTAATAACATTTTTTCTTGTAGTGAGTCCCCATTCCCTGTGGGATGCTCTTTATAAAGGTGATAGAGGCTACCAACATCAACACCATCAACTATGAGAATGCCAAGGGGGTGACAAAGATTAACCTTACCATCTTGAGCTGAATTAGGATAATTTGTCTCTTTCCTAGCCACAACTGGAAAAATATGGAACTACATGCAGAAAAAGGTTTTAAGCATAAGACCAAGAGACTTGTTATTGGCCAGTGTTCCAAACGTGGCCCTTCCACCACCTAGAAAGTCCAACCACTACCCTTACAAATAGCCTCAATTGCATCCTCAACCCAAACACCAACCTTTCCACCACCATAGAAAACAAAAATCCCTTCACCTCACCAAAAATCACTCACATTTATCGTCCATGACTCATCATTAGGCTCTTATGATAGCTTCTTTCCTTCCATCTATCATAACCACAAGTCACTCTCTCTCCCCAACCTTCACCTACAAAAGTAGCTCCCTAGCCTTAATAGTCCATTAAAATTCGTTTTGTGCATGGCTCCCTATGCCAAAAACAAAACATCAGAAGGTGCTTAACTTTAAGCAAGCACATCATCTTTCATTGGAAAAGGAGAAGTAAACCTAGTAGAAAAAGGTAGTGTTGGCTATTGAAGAAGAGAAACTCTTACAAGAAACACTTTAAGCATTCATTGTTGAAGCTGTTGAAAAGCAAAGAAAATTGGAGTTGGAGTAGACTCTTAGAGATATGCTTCTAGAAGGACAATGCATTGTCTCTCTACCAATGACATTATTATCTAGAATAATGTTTGATATCAATCATTCACACAC